ATATTGTCTTTTGCACTGTGTTTATTATAATTTAACAGAAGCCATATGAGTCATTTAGATTACTTCCAGTAAAAATACTTTGTAAAGCTGACCAAGTAATGAGAACGGACTGAACCGTGACCCAAAGCTACAGTCAGGAAGGACGTATATCTTCCCAAATATAGTGTTTATCTAAGAGGGGAGCTGTTGGATGGATCACATGTGTTGTGATTCATTGGCAGCCATACGCTCCACCAACAATGGTGACTGGTAGATAATTAGTTATTAGTGGAACTGCAATTTAAAATTCAAAAGCGCAAATCCGCTTATGAATTATAAAAATTAGTAAGACCGCTAAAGCTCAAACAAAATGTTTAGGTCCGCAATTAGCAGATTTACACTTTAGGGGGCTGGTGCCCACCACTGGACTTCACTGTTTACTTTTAATACTGGATGAAGTACTTGTGTCCCACAGAACCATGTGAAAGACAAACACAATAGATCTGATTAAGTGAATCAAAATAAACAAGTAAAAATCATTTTCATATCAACTTTTTGGAAATGGCACAGAGACAGAGAGAAAACAATTGGAAGAAGAGAGTAAATGCTAACTCAGCATTCACATACTGCTTACTGAATCAACACAACCAAACCAACAGTGCACTCACTATGAAGCCATTGTTGCCTCCATCTTGGCAATAGAAGAGACTGTTGCTGGCCTGGAAGAGGAAGAGGCCCGTCTTTGCATGGTAATCATATGATGTAATGCCAAACGCACCCAAACGTTTCCGCTCTCTCAGCAGCTCCTCCTCTCGAGAGTAGGCTCCTTGGTGTGGGGTGGCCTTAGAGACACAACAGGGAAGTTGATGTATAATGTGACAGGTCCTAAACATCTTGTACAGTTTCCTGTTCACTCCTGCAGATATCGTTCTAGCACAAATCAACACTTTCTCCATCCCTTCCACCTAATCTGCCCTGCTCTTCACCCTTCATGTGCACTGAGCAGAGTTTTGAATGATTGATCCCAGATATCTAACACAGCATCACTGCTCACAGTTTCACTGTGAGTGTATGTCACTGGCCTGACTTACTGGGAACAGAGTGGGAGATACTGATGTCACTCCAATTCAAACAYGTATTTTCCCTTGCTTCTGCTGACTTTTGATCCGTTTCTCTCAACTGCGTACATACCTCGACCTATCCAGGTGCTCTTCCACCTGCTCCCTATATTCATTAGAGTTAATGCATGAAAAAAGTCTCTGAAGCTCCTGCCTGAATGCGTCTGTAGACCTGTCCATCACTGCTGTAAACAAGAAGGGACTCAGAGAGGATGTAATGTCCCTCATATTGCACCTCACACCACTGTCTCATCATGCATGTCCATGTCCTCAAGAAACAAAGCCCCCTGCCATATATAATATTTATACACACAGTACACAGGGTCTCCCCTAGGATTTTTTTTAACTGTGGTGGTGACGACTGGACAACCTGTTCACAAAATCTGTTTGTCCACAAAAACATTTTGATTGACCAAAAAAATCTAAATAAAAATGTAATTTTATAAGTATATTGTTCTTTGTACAGTCAGGTTGACAGTTTCAGGAGC